CCTCAATGTTATCAGTAAGTCACAAAGATTTCCATCAGAGATTAATGGCGTTTGAAGTGTAAGATAATTTTTATAGCTCCTGAGTGAACATCAACTCTGAGAGGAAGGTAAATCAGCCTGAAGAGCCCCAAATGAAACGAAACAAGTATTATGGATTTTAATGCTAGCTGCTATCCATCTCAGCTTAAAGTTTGGTTAACTGACTTTTTACCATCTTACAAAAGAGAATTTTAAAATAATTGAGAAGAGGAAGATTTGTGTTATAATAATGTTGGTCAGTTTTAGGTTTCGAGAATTAAGACTTAGAAATAATTTAAAGCTAGAGATTTAAGATTAATTTTGAGTTAACAACTAATCTCCTACTAATCAGCGATAATATCCATCAAGTCTTTAGCTCAAAGTCGCCAACATAGTTGATCTTACATAGAAATTTGTCAACAATCGAACGAATGAAATATTTGACACCGACGTCATAGATTAGTGTTAAACTATCTATTTTGTTTTGAAAATCGATGTACATTAATGATGATTACATCCTCAGTATATATATTGTAACATTTGGGATTGCAAAATTGGGGATAAATACTAATTAAGACACACATTACTATAACAATCACGGTAAATTAACTTAAACGTATGTGATTCCATATTCTACACTCATTATACCTATTATATATATATATATATATATATATATATATATATATATATATATATATATATAGTCGTTGGACAAAATTTAAACTTATTTCCTAGTAAACAGACCTATTCATTTAAATTCTCTTGGTATTGTTCACTTAAATTTACCGATTGATGTTTAGGACTGCAATTGATCAGTCTCTTATTAGCATGTGTGCATACTGCGCCTATTGCCTCCATATAGCCTTAATTTACAAGCATTATAAACAAAGATGGATAGTGGCTAGTAGTGAAGTCGAGGAATCGTGTTTCGTTCTACTTAGAGTTCACCCAATTGCACAAGTAAATAACGCGATGGCGTTTGAAGCAAACGGTACTAGGTTCGAGTTTCAGAGTAAACATCAACTCTTAGATGCAGGTACATCCATCTGACGGATTCTAAATACGACGGAACGCGCATCTTAAATTCCATTGCTAGCCACCATTCATCTTTGTTTATAAACCTATTCATTGTTCAAAAAACAAATTCATATCTAGATTTTCTTTACTAATGTCATTCTATTTTGGATTAGTTAGTAGACAAATTTTCAAACAATAAATGATCTAATCAGTAAATGTTTTACTATTATATACTTCCAAATAAGCTTTACACAACTCAATCCTATTAATAAAATTACATTATCATAATTCATATTCTTACTCTGGAGAATCATTAAGTGTTGTACGCAATAAGTTATGTATTATTGAATAAGTATGTTTCTTTCCAAGTACGGTAAAGTTCAATCTCAAAAACCAAATTATCAACTAATGTATTTACTTGTGAAAAAAGTAATTTGAACTTAACAATGAGATATTATCTTATAAAGGTCAAGTTGTTGTGCAAAAACTGATCCCTAACAGATAAGATCAAGTAGGAATATTTCTAAGTAACTTAATATAGATTTGTATTTAGTTACTACTATCAATGATACAAAGTCAATAAATAAATCACTTGAAGAAACATAATATAAGAATAAATATTTATTATTATGATAGTTTATTTACCTAAACTATATGTGAATGTTTCTTAGGCATCATATGCATATAAGCCAAAAGACAATTGTAAATAACTACTGAAAAATCTACGAGACATATTTATATGTACTTACTTACGCCTGTTACTCCTCGTGGAGAAGCATAGGTCACACACCAGCACTCTCTATTCAAACCTGTCCTGGACAGTTCTTTCCAGTTGTTATTCATCATTTTCATATCTGCTTCTATTTTGCGGCGTAATTTGTTATTTGACCTTCCTCTTTTACATTTCCCTTCACGATTCCAAGTTAGGGCTTGCAGTTTGATGAATTCCTCAATGTATATGCTATCCACTTCCAACGTCTTTTTCTAATTTCCTTTTCAGCTGGAAGCTGGTTTGTCCTCTCCTTTAGTAGACTGTTGCTGATGGTATCGGGTCAACAGATATTGAGTATCTTACATAGGCAACTAATCATAAACACTTATACCTTTTTGATGATGGTTGTAATACTTCTCCACTTCTACAACAGGACTGTATTTATATGCATTCATTATGATTTACGTTATTTTATATCAATATCAGTGATATAATATAATTGACAATATTATTTTAAGGTAGATCAATTTATTACCCGGATAACTAGATTAGAAAGATATCTCTATCAAATTCTTAGATATATCTACGAAAGCGAATTCTTATTTATGTACGATGATATGTCATCTCAAATATAATTAATTATGGGCAATTACATATAGCAGCTCTTTTACAATGGATTTCGATTATGGTTAACGTTGTCAAGCCCTTTTACTAACCTTTTTAACAGACAATATTATTCAGACAGCAACAATTCATCTATTTCTGTGTATTATTATGATCAATATCATGTCTATATCAACGTGTATACTTAATCAAATAAGACAGCCTATTCACATTTCTCTCTCTAGCTTAAATGTTAATATCTTAAATATCTCTCGATGAATCATTCTCTTTACTATGTATATCTGTTCTCGAATCTTATCATTAGCCTTTGACTTTCCCCGCTGCTCTTTTATTCTATTTGACAATAAATTCGCCTATGTATTTCCTCTCTCACACATATTAGCCTTTGTGCTTCAAACCCGCTCGATTTGCTTGTAGATTTGTTAATCGTGCTATCCACCAATAAACTGTAGACTCCTCCTCCTATTGCCTTCTGATTTTAAATACCGTGTGATTTATGTAATAACTGTTATCGAGGTGACTGATTAACGAAGCTGGGCCATTACATACAAATACAAATCTAGGTAAACCGTTGTAAATCTTAGATTTTAGAAAGCAAAAAATTTATAAACAGCGCTTTAAGATGATAAATTAACATGAGTTAGTTACAGATTTGAAAACAATGAACAGGACCATAAAATGAATTCTACTGCAAACTAATAATAAGAATGTCTATTAAACAAAACTCATAAAGCGAGTTCTTCTCCATAAAGTTCTTCAAAAACATGACCATAAGAAACTAGTCATCTAAATATGTCAAACTAATGGATCAATACCAAATATAGAGATATAAATCATTCAATTAACCGTTTACTTTGATGTTAACATTTTTATCATGTTAAATGAAAGCGAATTGCTTCAGTTCATTAAGATTATGAACAGATCTAAGTTAAACCTTCATCGAAGACCTGAAATAATTGGTCACACGTTTTGTTCAAGAATAGGGCTCCTCACGAGTGCTCATCCACAATCCCGCACAAATGACTCGAATCTAGTACATTCAGTGAACGGTTAACCTATAAACCTCTAAGTCGGTATCCAACGGTGTTAACCTCTAACTCAAACTAATCCATGATATGCAAACATTTTCCGCTGTCTTCGGTGGGTAACTGCTTGATACTTAACACAGTTGAACTCCAATGGTCTCGGCTTCTCAATAGACCTCCGAAAATTTCCTCTAGGAGTTAATCACTGGTGAGCAAACGGTAATTGTCAGTACTGAGTTGTAGAGACTGTTGCAGTTCATATTCAGTTGAAAGAATATCATGTCATCCTGATAGATTTCCCGATGGAATCCAAAGATTTTTGGTGCCTATTTCAAAGAAAGAGAAATATTGCTGAAAGTTAACTGAGGGCTGAAAATCTTAATTTGTGTAATAAAATACATCACTAATAATTATCAATACGAATTATCGATTGTTAGGATTAATCTTTTAAACAACTTGGTATTAAATTCGTATATTGAAAATGATGATTTATCTATTAAACTATAAGAACTCGTAAATACGTAATTATATTGGTCTTTTGTGTGAAGTGACTATTTTTTTCAGTCAGACAAAAACTAAGAAATGATCTCTTAGTATGGTCTGTTTAAATCTTACCAACAACTTTTAAAACTGCAACTGGTCAGTCTCTTATTGGCTTCTAAGGAATGATCTGTTCTCAAAATTTTCAAGCTAGGAGTATTTCTATTTAACACTTAGCTCCATAAAAGACAAATCCTGATGACTTAGTAAATATCTGTAGGTTACACAAATTTATGACTGAATAAGTACTAACTGTAATATATTTCATTCGAGATATTAAAATGAAACGTCATTTACCATTAAAATGATTTCAATTACATATGAGAACGCAAGGAGTGTAATCGTAATAAAGCACAACTGTACTGAATTGAATTTGTTTTCTATTATAATTTTAAATAAAAATTTATTATTATTTTTGCATAGAATTATAACAGAACAAGTTAAAATTCAACTCAAATGAAAGTTCAACATATAAAACATTGAATTGTTGTTCATCTATCTACAGGTTAAAGTTTTGTATACCAGACTAAATGTCATGTGTTAGATACTTAATAGCGGCGGAGGTGAAGGCATAGATATATAATATTGACTAATTCTATACTTAAACGAAATATTTCTCCAGTTCTTCTTGTTTCCTAGTGGTTGCTCAACTTAGGATTAGTCTTTGATGTTAACCATAAAAATAAATTATTTAAACGAATTACTCTATTAACAACTATTTCAGATTGGCTAGTTGATTCTATAAACCTAAAAATGAATTGACCAATCACTTTATAACTTCATTTTAAAATATAAAAAAAAACAAATAGGCAATTTTATATTAGTTTATTGTTAATGCCTCTTATTCAACTATTGGTTGTATAAACCTTTTTTGATTACTATATTCATTCTATAATTCTATGATTACCTTCAAGATAGAAAGAATGATTGAATCTTATGAACATATAAAAAAACGCCTTAGATACTAAATATCAATATCATAATTTAATTAAATAATTATTTCTTAATCACTAGGGTTTATATTGATTATATGATGAAATGAATATTTATATCTATACATCATGATATTGATTATATTAATTACAATATTATTACCTGTTTTCTCTAATTCTATCAATCATACAATATATAATTATGATGTTACTATGGAATTACATTCAATTATACGTCCTGATATTGAAATTTCTGTTATTATTATGGCATGTTTAGTATGTTTTATAGTAACTATTGGTATAATAGGTAATGTATTAGTTATATGTGTATTAACATGTAATCAAACACGTATGGTATATGAAACATTTTGTGTTGGTTTAGCTGTAACCGATTTAATTTATTTAACAATGACAAGTCCTATAACTGTTATGCAATATTTTTTAAAAAGTTGGATATTTGGTATATTTTGGTGCAAAGTATTCAATTTTATTGTACAAGTAAGTTAACGAAGAAAACAATTTTTTTTTCTCGTTTTGTTATATTTAGAATTGAAAATGTGTTTCTTTGTTTTTTATTTCTAGTTTATCATTTCTTTATTTAAGACTAGTAAACAATGATGGATAGTGGCTAACAGGGGAGTCCAGGACGCGTGTTTCGTTCTATTTGGGACTCGTTAGCTGTATGTCCGTCATCTCAGAGTGAACATCAATTTTGAGATGCAGGTACATAGAAGCAATATATGTTATATAAGTAATTATTAATAATCAATGAAATGAGTTAATGAACAACTCTCCTCATGATTGGGAAAGGTTATGACCAAAATAATACTCATCATTCTATTACACTTACTAGATAGCAATCTTGTAGTAAATAGAAACAAATCATTTTGAGTAATTTAACGAATACTTACTAACTTTTCTTAAAGGGTTTGGTCTTATCTCCTACATATATGAGAAGTTATGATAATTCAAGGTAAAAATCAAAGTTTTTGTGTTCATAAGAAATTTATAACATACTCATGTCTTTTATAAGAACTTTCGTCTAAATTAGAGCGAATAGTTTCACAGTATTTGATCGCCGAGTTGATATAATTCCTTGAAAAAGCTTAGACCAGATTGCCAGTCGAAACGTTAAATTTACTCCGAATTCATTCGCTGAAATTTTACAATTATATTATTCCTATTTAATGTCATACTTATGTCTTGTTTAGTCGATTAAAATTTAGCAAATGATTTTAATTATTATTATTTTCCATATTCTTTGTTCGTTTACATTGTTGTCACCCTTCTTCTAAGATATATGCTTCACCTTTTAATTATCTGAATACTTTATATCTATGTAATTTTAATAATTTTAAATGAATACTATCTCAGTGTCTACTTATTCAAATTGTTAACCTAATCCCTGTCATAAAATATTGATTTAAGCTTTTGTTCATATTATAACTAGTATAATTATCACTACACTGTCAATTTACCTTTCTTACTTATTATGTTTCGTTATATACTCTAGTTCGTTATTATCACTGATTCATATGTATATTAAAAACACGAAGTTCAGCGAAGGGATCTCTTTTCAACAAATTTATTATCAAGTTGTACAATCATATATATCTGAAAATATTTTGTTTAAGTACTAATTCCGTGAGGAAATTTGAACACCAATAACCAAGGTGACGTAATAGAAAGATTATAGTACTAGATTACATAATACGAGTAATATATATATATATATATATATATATATATATATATATGGTTGTACAGCTTGGTAATAAATTTGTTGAAAAGAGATCCCTTCGCTGAACTTCGTGTTTTCAATTTTAATGTTTAAATGGAAATTATCAAAAGAGGTTTCTGTGGAGATTTAGTATTTTCATAGTTGAAAGCGTGAGTCAATTGAAGCTAGACCACCAGGGAAAACCTGAAGGCACTAAACGGCCGTTTCGTCCTATTGTGGGATTCCTCAGCAGTAAGCATCCACGACCTCGCCTCGTGAGATTCAAACCCAGGACCTACCATTCTTGCGCCAGAGCACTTAACCGATATACCACTGAGCCGGCATCCGATGGCGTGTATGTGGGAATCATATATATGTCAATAATAATATACATTTGAGCGAAGCTTGGTGAAGATTCAACTCAAAACAATCTTGTTGTTCTCATTCAGAAGATAGGGATTTTTCATAAACTACAATCTATTTATATTCAGATTTCAATTAAATATAAATAATAATTGTAATTATTTGTATGGTTGTATTTTGTAGACTTAATAGGCTAATTTACTTAGTAGAATTCATTGAACTAAACTAATATTATTAGTTAGTACAACAATTTTCTATGATAACCACCAGAAATATTTTATTGATTAAATATTTTTCCACTTAGTTACTATCGAAAATAAACATTTGTTACTAGAGAGAATTTGAAATCTAATTAACTTGTTTATTCTAGCAAATTAATAAAAATTTAATTTAATTAGTTTCCCCCGTTTTATTTTTGTGTGTATGTGTGTTTGTATGAGTGACATTACATCAAAAAAATGTATATTACAGATTTGAGTTAATATAGCATAAGCATTTACAAATTATCGTTTTTGGAACTATACAAGATATTATTTCTTTCATGTATAAAGTAATGAAAACAATACCATTATCTGTTATATAGTTGAGATCATGAGTTAACTGAAGCTAGACCACTATACAAAACCTGGAAGCACTGGACGGCTATTTCGTCCTATTGTGGGATTCCTCAGCAGTGCGCATCCACGATCCCACTTCGCGAGATTTGAATCCAGGACCTACCAGTTAATGTTTAAATGAAAGTTATATCTCTGTTTAAATATGTGCTCAATTGTTTTGGTTATCCATTTTCAAATTGCGTAAATAGTGTTATGAGAGCGAGAGAGGGAGAAAGAGTGAGAGAGAGCCATGATGGGAAACTAATTGAGGAGAAATCTATTCGCGCTGTTAGTTCTTTTCACTTAAATGATAAGATAAAGTTTTTCACCATAAGAAAAGATTGTAGTAGTTGGCATTACATTCTCCAACATTTTTCATAATATCGGCCGTCAGAAAAATTTATAAAGCATGTTATTGAATAATCAAAACTTGGATTCATATTAAGAGCTTTACAATATTGTTTAAATGGTAATGAGGATTCTTTACGGTAATAAAATGTATAGCATTAAACGAAGCTGTTATTATTATTATTTAAAAATTAATATCATCAGAGAATGACATTCTCTCAGAAACAATACAAAGACACAGAGAATTGGTCAACTGTGTTATTCTTGTTCACAGCTTCACAATGATATATATGAACAGTATCTTAATTCATAATGTTCTACAATTGATCAGTTCGTGATGAAAATTACCTAATAAAGTATAAGAATCTTAAATAAAACTGAATAAATAAACTTACCTACACAATTTCGTGACTACATTTTTATGGTTTTCTTACTTCCGGAATAAAAATTTAATAATTTATTCAACTGTTACATAATTTATATAATCAAATAGAAGATAATGATTACCTTAGTCTATTTATTTTTATTTAGTTGATAAAACTACCCTTTGATATTCATTAAATAAGAATATTTTCTTTACAAAAACTGAATATCTTTTCTAATATATATGTAAAAAGGTGTTTTGTGGAGATTTCAGTAATTGCATATAGTTGAGATCATGAGTCCATTGAAGCTAGACCACTATGGGAAACCTGGAAGCACTGGAAGGCTGTTTTATCCTATTGTGAGACTCCTCAGCAATGCGCATCCACGATCCTGCCTCGAGAGACTCGAACATAAGACTTACCTCTAGACCATTAAGTTGGCTGATATCCAACGGTATTAATGTCTAACTTCAACCATTTGCCATTGTCTTCAGTGAGTTGATATCTCCCAACACACCTAGTTGAACTCCACTGGTCACTGCTTCTCACTAGAACTCCAGGAAATACCTCATAGACCAAGTCACTAGTTAGCATATGATCATTATCAGAAGGGAGCTTTGTGAAAATTTTATTAATTTTATTTATTTGAGATCATGGATCGTGGATGCACACTGCTGAGAAGTCCCACAATAATACAAAACGGCCATCCAGTGCTTCCAGGTTTTCCATAGTGATCTAATTTCAACTGACTCATGATCTCAACTACATAATATAAGTAAAAAGATTTAAAAATGGAATTGATCTATTCTTCATAAATTTAATGCGAATTTTAAATTTATGCTCCCCCCTCCAAAAAAAAGCACAGAATAATTTGACCTTAGATAAACTTCTTTAATTATTTAAACATGATATTACCTTGAAATATTTTCATCAGATGGGGTCTTTTTATGTGGAGATTTTAGTAATTTTATATAGTTGAATTCATCAGTCAAAACAATTTTCATTATGTTTAAATATGAATACTAAAATAAGCATCAAGTTCATTTTCAATTTCATGTTGTTGGCCTTGATATTGTTGCTGTTTTTTTTGTTTTTTTTTTAATATTTTTTTTATTTTTCATCTTTTTTTTGTTACTTAATTTATCATCAGACAAATATTCCATACACATAACACTCAACACCTTTCATACCGTTTTTTCTATATATAAAACAATTAATTATAATTAATGAATGTTTTTAACACTTTTTTTTTCTTCCGAATATTCTATTGAATATTGATAAATAATGATGCACGCAAAGAAGATGAAAAAAATATGAAAAAAAACAAAAGAAAAACAAACATAAAAATAAAAAAAACTAACTCGGATACAACAAGTTTTCTCCACTAAAAAAAGAAAAATAAATCAGTAGAAATGATAATTTTTTTCTGGTTATTTTTTTTCTTTCTGCAATTCATTATATTAAAAATAATAACAGTTTTACACGCACACACACACAACAAGCACATACACACGCACACGAAAAAAAATAATTAAGACTAATAGAATTCTTTCTTTTATTTGCATTTATTCTAATGAGATATGCGTATTTAAAAATCTATATACATTTAAGACAAATAATAAATAAAAAAGATAAATTCTTTCCTAGGAGAAAAAAAGGAAGGAAAAAAGAAAAACCATACAGTATAAAAATACTACTCAATTGTTTGATGAGTTCATTTTTCTATTAGATTATTAAAAAGTTAATTATTATTAGCAAAGATGGATAGTGACTAGCAGTGGAATTCAGGATGCGCGTTTCGTCTTATTTGGGACTCGTCAGCTGAATGTACCTCCATCTCAGAGTTGATGTTCACTTTGGGACTCAGCAGCTGAGTGTTTGAAGCGAAAGGTACTGGATTCGCTTTAAACGCTCAGCTACTGAGTCCCAAAGTGAACATCAACTGTGAGATGCAGGTATATTCAGCTGACGAGTCCCAAATAAGACGAAACGCGCATCCTGAATTCCATTGCTAGTCACTATCCATCTTTGTTTACAATGCTTGTGAATTAAGGCAAAATCGAGGCAATACGCACAGTATGCACATATGCCAATAAGTACTGACCA